CTCCTTCTGTTACAAGCCGACCTGTTAAGCAGACGAGGGAGTCTGTGGATGTTGTTTACCTGCTCTTTAGTAAAGCCTTTGGCACTGTTTCCACAGCATTCTCTTGAGAAACTCGTTGCTCATGGCTTGGATGGGTGCACTCTTCACTGGATACAAAACTGGCTGGATGGCCAGGCCCAGACAGTTGTGGTGAATGATGTTAAACTCAGTTGGTGTCCCATCATAAGTGGCATTCCCCAGGGCTTAGTACCGGTGCCAGTTTTGTTTAATATCTTTATCAATGAGCTGGATGAGAGGATAAAAGTGCATACTCAGTTTCCAGATGAGACGAAATTAGGCAAGGAGAGTTGATCTGCTTGAGGGTAGGAAGTCTCTGGATCTGGAAAGTCTGGCTGAACAGGGAGATATTGCTTGAACTCAGGAAAGAAAAAAAAATTATCACCTGTGGAAGAAAGGACAGTTACCCCCTGAAAAGTATAGGGATGTTTTTAGGTTATGTAGAGAGAAAGTTAGAAAGGCGAAGCACAGACGGAACTAAATCTGGCCACTGCCATGAAAGATGGTAAAAAGTACTTTTGTATTAGCAATAAGAGGGTCGAGGAGAACCTCCTTTCTCCACTTGATACTAGGGGAAGCCTAGTGACTGGGGATGAGGAAGCTTAATGCTGGGTACTCAAGTTTCCTGAGTTGGATGGCAGAGATGGGGAGCTGACTGAAGTCCCCATAATCCAGGAAGAAATGGTTAGAGACCTCCTGCTCCACTTAGATGTACACAAATATGTGGGCTGGATGGGTTACACCCAAGAGTGCTGAAGGAGCTGGTGGAGGAGCTTGCTAAACCACTCTCCATCATCTGTCAACAGTCCTGGTCTAGTGGGCAGGTCCCAGGGGATTGGAGGTTGGCCAATGTGATGCCTCTCTAAAAAAAAGGGCAGGAAGGAAGACCTGGAAACTACAGCCTGTCAGCTTGACCTCAGTGCTAGGGAAGGTCATGGAGCAGATGTTCCTAAGTGAGATCACAAGGCACGTGCAGGAAAATGGAGGGATGAGGCCCAGTCATCATGGTTTCATGAAAGGCAGGTAATGGACCAGACTGTTCTTCTGTCATAAGGTGGCCTGCCTGGTGGATAAGGGAAAAACCATGCACATTGTCTATTTGGGCCTTAGTAAAGTGTTTGCCACTTTCTTCCACAGTGTTCTCCTGGAGAAACTGGCTGTTCATAGCCTGGGTAGGTGGATTCTTTGCTGGGTTGGAAACTGGCTGGATGGCCGAGTCCAAAGAGCGCTGGTAAATCTAGCTGGTGACCAGTCACCCAGGGCTTGGTATTAGGGCAAGTGTTGTTTAATATCTTCACTAATGATCTGGATGAGGGGATCAAGTACACCCTCAGTAAATTTGCAGATGACACCAAACTGGGCAGGAGTGTTGATCTGCTGGAGGACAGGAAAGCTCTACAGAGGGATCTGGACAGGCTGGATCACAGGATTGTGTGAGGTTCAACAAGGCAAAGCGCTGGGTCCTGCACTTGTGCCACAACAACCCCATGCAAAGATCCAGGCATGGAGAAGAGTGGCTGGGAAGCTGTTCATCAGAAGAAGACCTGGAGGTGCTGACTGACGGCTGCTGAACATGAGCCAGATTGTGCTGCCCAGACAGCCAAGAAGACCAACAGCATCCTGGGCTCTATCAGCAACAGTGTGGCCAGAAGGGCCAAGGCAGTGATCATCCTCCTGTGAGGGCGACGCTGCACCTCAAATCCTGTGTTCAGTTCTGGGTCCGTCACTACAAGAGAGACATGGAGGTGCTGGAGCAGGTCCAGAGAAGGGCAACGAAGCTGGTGCAGGGCTGGAGCACCAGCATGATGAGGAACGGCTGAGGGACCTGAGGGTGTTTAGTCTGGAGAAGAGAAGGCTCAGGGGGGACCTTATTGCTCTCTACAGCTGCCTGAAAGGAGGATGGAGCCAGGAGGTGGCTGATCTCTTCTCCCAAGGAACAAGCAATAGGACAAGAGGAAACAGCCTCAAGCCATGCCAGGGGAGGTTTAGCCTGGATATTAGGAACAATTTCTTTCCCAAATGGTAGTCAGGCATTGGAACAGGCTGCCCAGGGCAGTGGTGGAATTATCATCCCTGGAAGTGTTCACAAACCATGTAGATGAGGCCCTCAGTGACTTGGTTTAGCGGTAGCCTTGGCAGTGCTGGGGCAGTGGTTGGACTTGATGATCTTGAAGGTCCTTCCCAACCCAGCTGATTCTATGGTTCTATGATTCTAGCACAGGCATTTGGAGCACTTATGTAAGCGGTTGTTTTGTTCGCGGAATTTCAGATGCTCCTTGGACTCTTATAGATGGAAATAGATCTTACTCTCCTGAGCTGTGCAGTTAATTTCTCTGACCCCTGGTAGGTGCAGCTCCAAAATCCCAATGATCAGCCTTGGATTAATCAGGGCTCCTTCGCCACACACTCCAGAAGACTGCAGCATCTCCTGGGGTGATATATAGGTTACCTTGCATTTATCACCAGTTAGGATAGCGGCCAGGCCTATTTCCTGTGTCATTTTCAGCTTCACCTGTTGTAAGGGTTGCTGTTGCTTGGTTCCCCACCTAAACCAATCTTACTTACACAACCAATTACAGTGGTTTGGCTAGTTAATGTATCCAGGAATGTGCATTTGTCAGAATCCTACCATCCCGACAGAATGCTTTAAAGTCTTTCTTGTTTCATGGTAGCTTTGTGTCTGGGAACTGTCAGCAACAATAACCGCAATTCAGAGACCCTGAAAGACACTTGAATACAGGAGGCAGTGTTCAGATGGATCTTGTCACTGAACTAACTACAAGGTTGTCCTCGGTTCAGCAGTAGCAGTCATGTTTCTCCTTCTTGGTAGCTGGTGCAGTGCAGTGTTTTGACTTTCAGCTCAGGAACAGAGCTGATAACAAGGATGTTTTGGTTTGGCCAAGGACTTTGTGAGCCTCATGCTCTGCCAGGGAGGAAGGGAAGCCAGGAGGAAGCAGAGACAGGACACCTGACCCAAACTGACCAAAGAGGTATTCCATACCACAGCACGTCATGCCCAGGATGTAACTGGGAGTTAGCCGGAAGGGCTGGGGGACTGCAGGGTTGGAGGAGGTATCGGTCAGAGCTTGGTCGGGCTGGGGGGGGGCGAGTTATCGGTCGGCTGGTGGTGAGATGATGTATTCTCTTCCCTTGTTATTTCCTTTATCATTATTATCATTGGTGGTAGCAGTAGTGATCTGTGTTATACCTTAGTTACTAAACTGCTCTTATCTCAACTCGTGGGAGTTGCATTCTTTTTGATTCTCCTCTCCGTCCCTCCGAGAGTAGGGGGAGGTCAAGAAGGGGGGGAGTGAGTGAACGAGTTACCTGACTGGGTTTAAACCACGACAAAGGTCTAAAGCACTGAGGTACACAGCAACTCTGAACTATGGGTATATGGTTTTCAGAGTAAGCTCAAGGTCTGAGACAGGCAGTAACATGCTGCAGAAAATGGGATTGTAAATGGTCATCCCTTTCAACCTATGAACATCCTTTTAGTAGGACTTCTATTTGCTTCATTTCACACCAACAACCTTCTTTAGCAACTGCTGCTGCTCTTTAATTCCTTCCTTTCTTCTCTTCTTACTGGGGACTCCAGCAGGAAGTAACAAAAGGAAGCAATCTGTAGTGTTTTATATGGGATCATCTCAGATGATTAAAAAGGAAAGAATGTACAAAACCCAGTTGTCTCTACTCTGTTCATTCCCTTCTCCCCTTGCTCAAACCAGGGGTGCAGATGTGTCTGCTTAATTTCTGTTTTGTTTTTCCCATAAGGAGCTAGTGCAGCAGTGTGTTGGGTAGGTTTGTTTGTTTATTTATTTAGTTATTTAAACAAGTGTTAAGACCTTCCTTGTTCAGCTCAGGTACCAGCCTAGGTACAACATGAGTGACTAAACAGCAACAGAGGACCAACTCAGTACCCCAGATCATAGCTTAGCAGTGCAGCAGGTTGAATAAGGAATCAGAGCTTGAGTGAAAGATGGCATTTGTAGCCTCCACCAACATTGTCATACGGTATTTGTGTACCCAACTTGAGCCACGACAGCAAGAGAAAGGGCAAATCCTGAACCTCATTGGGATCACAAGGAGCAGCACATAAATGTGTCAACCTCCAAGCAGAACCAGTTTTCCCTGAATCACAAACTCAGGCCATGTTCTTTGAGAACTGGAAATGTATGTTTCGTACCTTTGCACTTCAGATAGCCCCGCATATTGCATCCTGGCTCTGAAGACTTCATCTCAGAGAATACACTATTATCAAGAACAGAAGCCACAGTGATGACTGTACACCCACAAACATTTATGATTTTTCCAATTATGGAAGGAGCTGTAAAATGTAATCTTGGCCACTCCCCTATCCATCATACAGATGTTCACAGCTTGGGGGCTTTCATTACATTGAGAAATACTCATCAAAATAGAAGCCTAATTAACACCTCTTACAAAGTCTGCAGAAAGTGATTCACTAGTGTTACACTGTAAACAGCAATAACTGGATTCCTTGAGCACCTCAAGCAATTTGACAGCAATATCATTCACACATGCACCTGTGTATTTTTGGCACAGCCCTTGCAAAACTGTTCATTGTCAAGAGAATTACTCAGGGCAGAACTGAAACTTGCTCCAAACCCGATTATAGCCTAATGATGACTTTCACTACACAATCAAGACACACAAACAGAAGTTGTTCTGAAAGGCTTCTTCTACTATTAGCTGTTCAAGAAGATTAACAGTAACAATTAAAGGAAGAAAAGGGAGAAGTTTGTTTTTTTTTAATAAACTTTTAATGTGCTATATAGGCATGATCGCTACGAGATCTTCCACCTATACGCAATACTACATACTGCAACATGCCGCATTTTCACTGTACATTAAAAGGTCTGAGAAGAATATTCCTTCACTGGAAAAATATCATACAATCACTTAAATAAACAAAGACAGCATTACAGTGCAAACAAAAATCCCCATTTTATTTATTCTGCAATTAATGAGCACTTCTTTCTAAAAGTCTTTTTTTAAAAAAAAAAAAAAAAATAATAATAATAATAATAAACCCAAAAATGCACTTTCCACAGACAACCAACATCTTCTGGGATTATTTCCTCTGGCTGAATCAAGAACCCTGATCTGATCCTTGAAGCTGTAATAAACTTTACACACATTCGTGTGATGCTTATTCACCTGATTTGTATGAAGCAAGGATCCTGACCCAAAATCTGCAGACTGCAATAAAATGGCACTTGCTGGCTTCAGCTGACTTTCAATCATGCCCATGACAAGATCTGGTACAACAGTTATCCCCATGAGGTAAAAACAATGTGCTTAAGGAAGCCTGGCAAGGCTTTGGTTGTTGTTGGTTTTTCTACTGGTAATTGCTCTTAGAGAGAGTAGGGGCATACTTTTCCATCACAGGAATAAATCGGCCACAGAAAGCAATATTGCCAAATTCTCAAAAATGCACTTCAACATGCAAAAGAAGAGATGCGACATACCTCTGTCTCAAGGGGCATGATAGAGTTGCGAGAGCCCACGCAGGCAAAGACTCAGACAGCAGCCGATTCAATCTAATTCCTAACCTCTGCAAGCTCTGCCACCCTCATGTACTCCTACTCTGGTGGAAGAAGAATGTGCTGATTTAAAAGTGCCTGTATGCTCTTACCAATTGGATGATGTTAGGAGGAGAAAAGCTCTGAAAAGACTTTAGGGAAATGAAAAGCAAGTGTAGGTGAGTATGTGAAAAAGGGGATGCTTGGTTTTATTGGAGAGGAATGTTGTCTCTTTGTACTCTATTGTGCCACCGTTCTCTCAGAAAACCACCAAGAGCCTATTACAATGCAGATTCAAATTCGGGTGAGACAGCTGCAGCTTGACCCGCTACTGTTGCTGCACAGAATGACAATGGGCTCCCCACATATGTGATCCAGTCCAGTTAAAACTGTGTTGGATGTCATGTAAAGAACAAGGCAAGCTTAAAAGGAAGCAGAACATTCATCACCAGTGAGATTATACAGGACATCCTTGAGGTTTTTACCAGATTAGACAATATAATGAAGCACTACTTTTACAGGCAGTAAGTGGATATTTCATTACAATTCTCCTATTTGCACTTCTTTCTAAACATACATAAAATGGAAGAGTAGTAGGTAAGAAAGCTGAATTAAATAACACACAGTTTCACACTCCTATTGCAGCCTGTAAAATACATATACTGCATATAACCAGTCTGCTACTACAACGGCTGGTGGGTTAATGCACATCATTCTAGACACAGGTGGGAAATGGCACAAAATGAGGACTACTAGGCTATTGATTGTCCAGTTCTAATTTCTGCACAATTATATATATATATATTTCATTTATCCCCTTGAACGAGCACACAGAGCATGTAGAAAATATCTCTCATGTAGATGGGCACTGAGTTGGCAGGACTAAGATTCAGAGCAGCTTGTGCAGTGCTTCTGGCTGACAGTGACTGAAATACAGCAGAAGGCTTCTGCTTATGGTGAAAATGAACACTGGCCAGAAGGTAGGTATCATGGAACCTTGTTTTAAAAATGTCTTGATACACCAGAAAAACAAATTTCTGCTACATACCAAAGTTCTCATTTGTACAGCTGCAAATATCATCTTAGGGAAAGCCAGTATTACACACAATTGTTAGTCTGCTATCTCAGTAGGACTGTTTGATACAGATGAATGAGCAAGTGAAGATTTTGCCTACAAAGCTTTATAAAAGACTCTGACCACCCACATGCATAAATACTAACCCATATACTAAAATGCCTCATTCTTAACTACGTAAAACATTACGGTTTAACTGCACCAAACAGAATTAGCTGCCTGCATCTGAGTGAAACTTGCAAATGAATACAGTAACCCTTAAGAGATTATTTTACCAAAAAGGATAAAAATATATAACAAATTACTTTTTCATTACATTCCATCTTCATAAATAATTGACCAGGATTTGCTTTTACAAAATTATTTTAAGATTGTGTGCCTAATAGGAGTTCAAGATTTGACTACCCCAAGAAACTTCATTAAAAATCACCCAAAACCCACCAGGCTAAGTGAGCAGCGCCACAGAACTCACCTGCTAAGCAGCTTTTTCTCAGGTCCATCAAGGGACTCTGGGTTCCCTCAGTCAGGGTACTCTTTCACATGAAGAAGTTTCTCAGGGTAGCAAGAGAATAAAAGTTGCTGGCGTTTTACTGCTGAGAAGAACTTGTTGATTCTTCTCAAAACATGGAGGAAGAACTTTTGGGAAGTACTTTCACTCACAGAGAAGCTCTGTGAAGGTTGTCTGTTCTCTTTGTACTAAAATAAAATTTCTTTCTGTTATGTAGAAGCCTGGTTTTGGAGGCACCCTGCAGCATAAGAGTACCATACACAACTCTACAGAGCATCCACAATCCCAAGACTAAAGGCTGTCACTCCATCACAGACTCAAGCACTGAATTCTGGCAATGAATTCTGTGCAACCCAGCTTACCTCTCACCTCCCATCCACAGGAAGGGGTGAGACTAGATTATTAGAGGGTCCGCACAGCTACAGGGTAGAGCAGCGACAAGTGTTCTGCTCCTTTGATAGGCAGCTTTTTTGTAGTGTAGTAGTGGATGACTTCAGGAACACTGTCAAAGGGAGGGCTGTTCTGACCCAGGATGTACTTCTCTTTGGTCTTCATCAGCTTCATGTGCATAAAACCTTGACTGCTCCTGCAAGGAAAGCAAAGTGTTACTTCATGCTTGTGCATAGGGAAGAGGGGAGCAGAACCACAACAGGCTCTCCTTCATGGAAGGGAAAGTAGGATAACAATGTACAGATAGTTGCTGGGTGACAGGCCAAGACAGTGGCCAGACCGTGACAGACAATGACAGCCTGCAAACCCCAAGGACACTGCAACACACAGGCAGCCTAACCCAGTATGTTGTTTTCATCGCATATGCTGTCTGGATTCAGGTGCAAGGCTAGAGATGATCCAGAGGTGTGCTAGATCACATCCCCTTTCCTGTCCTACCCAAGTATTTCCCTGTTTACTGCTCACTACAGCTAATCGTTACTTCTGGACTAAAAGGTATCATTAGTCTTGGCCTGCCAGGGGGCTGAGGCTCTCTTCATTAGACACACAGGTGGGCCATGAGCCTCACTCAGGTGAAGCAAGGCCTTCCCTACTCTGTCCTGTTACCCACGGGACAGACAACACCTATTCCAGCCTCACAGCATCTGCCCAGAGCATGGCTATGTGCAGAATCTGGTGGTTTCAGCTGGGAAAACTTCTGCAGATGAGCCCATTCCCAACATCAGTGGCATAAAGACTTTCATCTGCCCTCTACTGAGCAAAGGCTGCAATCCTGAAGCCTTTCTGCAGGCAGAAACCAGTCTGTGTCTTCCACAGCTGCCCTAGGTTCAGCTGTAACAGTCATTTTCCTCTTTTCCTGTAGCTGGTGCAGTGCTGTGTTTCACCTTTAGTCTGAGAACAATGCTGATAACATGCCCATGTTTTAGTTGTTGCTCAGTAGTGCTTACCCTGATCAAGGACTGCTCAGTCTCATGCTCTGCCAGTGAGGAGGGGCATGGGAAGCCAGGAGGAAGCAGACAGGACAGGACACTGGACCCAAACTAGCCAAAGGGGTATTCCATACCACAGCACGTCATGCCCCATATAGAAACCAGGGGGAGTTACCTGAAAGGCCCAGATCTCTGTTCGGGTCGGGCTGGGTATCGGCTGGTGGGTGGTGAGCAATTGTATTGTGCATCACTTGTGCTTATTGTTTTGGTTTCTTTTCTTCCCTTTTTAGTTTTATATTCTCTCCCCCTTGTTATTTCCCTTATCATTATTATTATTGGTGGTAGCAGCAGTAGTTTGTGTTATACCTTAGTTACTGGACTGTTCTTATCTCAACCTGTGGAGTTACATTCTTTTGATTCTCCTCCTCATCCCACCAGGAGCAAAAGGTAAGAAGAGGGCGAGTGAGCAAGCGGCTGCAGCTGCGTGGTTTCGAGTTACAGCTGGGCTTAAACCATGACAGCATTCAGAAGCATTCAGCTCCTAGATGACCTGCCTACACAGTGCATTGCCTCTTTGAGGGAAGGCTTATGATTATACAGGGAAGACTCTCACAGTAATGACTGCCCTGTCTGCTTCTGCAAAAGCAACCCATCCGACATAATGTCACTCTGAGGGGTAGCATTCCACTGCCATATAGTACAGTAGTGATAGAGCTGACCTCATCTCTTCCCAGCAGTGCCTCTTCAGTGTCGGCTGTCTTAAGCATGTCATACAGGCTATTTAATAGTATAGAGTTTAGCCAGAACAAAACAAAGGCAAAGGGCACCTTTTACACTTCAGAATGTTAAATAAGGCCTAGGTAGAGGGTTTTTACAGCTTAGTTCATGTCTCACTCCCTAACTTGTGGCTCCAAACCACTGACTCTTCCAAGTGTGTCCAGGGACAAATACAAATGTTAAAAACTGGAGTCAGTCTTTGTCAGCAACAAAAAACAGTGTAAGATGACACAGAAAGCTACAGCAGGAAGACAAATCATGCCATGTTAAAAGAAGCTTCTCTAAAATCTGCCATTTTCTACTTAGCAGGGGTAGCATTCCCTCCAGAAGTGCTTGTAGCACTATCAAGCTCGTATCTTTCAGATATATTCCACAATTCTCTGATGGACTTTCTGTTGAGCAGAAACTACTACAGACACTGTAATTATACCCCTACACAAAATCATGCTTTAAATATAAATTTCTTAGCAGAAAAAAAGGATCTCTTTGAATCATAATGGCTTTCTTTTTTTTTTTTTTTTTTTAAACAAGGGTGGTGTCTTTAAATACTTTATTACGAGGACAGATGTTTTGTTCTGTTCCTTCAGTTCTCTATGCATCTGCTTTGCTACAAGATGCCTTAAAAAGACAAATTAATGGAATCCCAGGTGCATGCTTATTTCAGGAGTATAGCAAGAACTGAAGAACAATCTACCACATGCACCTCAATACAGAAAGGGCAAGGACACATACCCTTTCTGCAACAGAAAGAAAGCATATGCAAACGAACTGCTACAAGCTGTGTATTCATGACAGACAGCTGTTGCTTCCCTAAGAAACGACTATATCTAGGTCTGGGTAGTACACAGTCATAAAGTATATGATGTCTATGGTTACCAGAATTCCACAAAGAAAAAGCATCTCCTCTATATCATGACAGGTCAGTTTTTTAGGAGGCCACACGGTTTGTGAAGATGAGTAAAAGAAGAATGTGACATAGAAGTTATGGATAGCAGCCTGATGGAATTCCAACGCAAATAGAAAGCTTCTGCCCTTGGGACAGAATAAACTCAGGCAGCAGTGCAATCTGGGGCATGGCTGGCCAGAAAAGGAACTATGGTGGACAGGACGCAGAACATGATTCAACAGTCTGCCCATGAAGGCCTACTGCAGCCTGGGCTGTGTAGCAAGTGTGGCCAGCTGCTGGAAGAAAGTGAATACTTCCTGTACATAGCACTGATAAGGCTGCAGCTGTATGTGCAACTGGTGCAAGGACTGCCCATAAAAAAGAGAAGCCAACATTAGAGCAAGTCCAGAGCCAGGCCACTAAACACATGGGCTCCAGAGGTGGAAGCACATGATGTACAAGGACAGGCTGAGTGAACTGTGTCTGTTCAGTCTGGAGAAGAAAAGGTGAGATGGAGGGTGTCAGGCTGCAGTCATCCATTGCCTAAATGGGAGAGTTACAGAGAAAATGGAAATTTGAGTCAACAAGCTTGAGTTCCCAGTGGACACAGGGAAAAACTTCACTCTCATGAGAGTGGTGCAGCCCTGGGCCCAGGCTCTGACAGATCAGGAGGACTCTGTCCTTACAAGTTTTCCAAATTTGCCTGGCCTATACAAAGCACTCAACAACCTGATGAGCACGTCCTGGTTGTAGTAGAGGGTTGGACTTGACACCTCCAGAGGTCAATTCCGAACCAGATCTAGGATTCTATGACTAATTTCTACCATTTGTGTATTTGCAGCCACTAAGTAGAGCTTCTAGTTCAACAAAAATTTTAGTTTGAAACATTTGTAAAAATGTACTATTGAAGAAAAAATATATTTAAAAAAAAAAGGAATCAGAGAAACCTATGAAATTAAAAATGTCAGGACTCCCAAGTAAAACTTTCCTGAAACTGAAAATGTGGGGTTTGTGCCATTTTTTTACAAGAGAGCACACACAATCCACCTCAATTTCAAGCTAGACACAAAATACTATTAAGCGGAGATTTTATTTACATACAGATTTCCTGTTAAAACCAACTGCTAGCCACGGTCTTTGTGGAACATCCCAAATAATTCAACTGTCAGTTGGCTATGTGCAGATGAAAACCTGTGAGGTAGTCTTCATTCAGTTATCAGTAATCTTCAGTCACCTTCATTCTCTTCTGGTATGCCTGGACTCACAAAGAATTGGTGCCCAGCAGTAACTGGCAAGGACAGAAGGCATCTACACTTGTTTAATAGCCCTGTTGCTGCTAGACCAGTGACTAGGATTACAGGGACACTGTTCTGAAAAGAACCTAGGAGTTGTACCCCTCTCTCTTCTTCTCCTCCAGACCTTTTAGATTTAAGCTCTGATTTCAGTATGTAGGAAGAATGATGAAATTTCAGGTTGCAATGAAGAAAACACTTCATAATTGAACTGGTTGTAAATCAGTTTCTGCTTAGCTTTCGAAGCACTGCTGGAGTCTACCTGAACAAGTACAAGCACAACATATGCCTGATAGTGAGTAGTCCTGGTTTTGGAATACTGATTTCTCATCCATTTCAACAGCAATAACTATTAGAACCTGCCATGCCCAAGGTTTTCAAAAAGCAGAACCTAAACAGCAATTCCAAGTTCACATATGTAAACATTGATAAATGCCAGTGCCTTGAAGAGGTGAGACATACACATTTTGCGAGAGAAGATGCTGGGACCTGACCTAAGTCATGTGATAATGTTACTATGTGAATTCTGAATGCCATTGTGGCTTCTCAAGTGTTGCAACAATTCTGCACTACAGACAGTATTTGCTCCTTCCTTTCCTTACTGCAACTATTCCCATGGATTTCAAATACAGAACAGGAGAATTCCTAATTGCTAATCCCTGCACCAAACTCCTTTATAATTCTCAAGCACAGATGTTTACACAGACGCAATACTTGCTACACCTTGCTTAAGTCACACCTTGCTTAAATGTTTTGCAACACAATCATAAAACCAAGTGACTTTGAATTACAGCTTTCTCACACGGTTTCCTTCTGTTTTCAAAGGCCAGTAAGGATGGGAAAAGAATTGTGCAGACAGCTCATAAGACTGTGTTTTATTTTGATCTTATGCCTCAAGTGAGATACAAGAACATTCAAGAAATATTAAGTAGATACGAAACCTAGTAAATTTTTTCCATAAAATGTTAATGGTTTTGAAAGATCATTAATGTTCACTATCAGAAAAATTGGCCAAGCTTTCTGAACACTGATTTTGCTGAAGAAAATGCTGTTTTGTTAGAACAGATTTTCTGCATTCATTTTGATGAAATGTCACCTGGACAAGGAAAAAAGCAACAACTTTACAGTAACACCAGAAAAATAAGATTCTACCAATGTAGGAAGCATGTTTTGTTGTTCTGTTTTTTCATTTTGTAATGCCCTTCCATTTACATGCTGTCACTTTGAGCAAAACCTATAATGCGTTATGCTA